ATTTGCAGGTCTTGATTGGACCTCCTTTAGAACGACGCCATAGATTCAACAATGTGCTGGAAACCTCCCGCAGAGATTTTAGTCCTTATTAATATGATAATGTCACATAGTTCCTGCAGATTACATTGGCTGCAGATTATGTTTGGCTGCACATCCATGATGTGACTCTCCTGTTTTACCACACATGAAAGGCGTTTTACTGGATTGCGGCCAAAGTGTGCTGACAAAATGTTCCTCGCACCATTACACCACCACCACCATGGTGACCTTACCATCTCAGCAGAACTTAAGACTTATCAGTCCTATCTTCTATTGTCTAATTTTGGAGAGCCCATGTAAATTGCGGCCTCAGTTTCCTGTTTGTAGGCAACTTTAGAGGGACTCCTTTGCTGCTATGCTTCATTTAGAGTCACATAAATCGTCTTTTTCCCTCCTTCTAATGCTGGGTTTGAACTTCAGCTGGTCATTCTGACCAGGCTTACATGCCTAAATGTGCTGAGCTGTCCATTTACATGAAGAAGCAGCTGAACATGTGAGGCTATTAAAGTATAGGTGTGAAATTTAAAAGCATCCATTCTCATTTTCAGGTTAGGATGAGGTGCTTTTACTCAAAGAGATGGAAAATGGGTCATGCTTTGTATCATTTTACTTTGCTCATTGCTGAACATTCACTGAGATTCATTTCAATATATTTTTCTTCCCTGAGAGAATGCCTCTGGGATCTGAATGAAGTCAGAAGTGAAATGATGCGTTGCCATGCAGAGTCCAGAGCATCCATTATACATTGTAAATAATGTAATGCAAGCTGGTTCTCAGAGTTATCTTAATCCAGATAACGCTTGTTTTCTTCGTTGCAGTTGTTTTCCAGTTTCTCACTTTGGAAAATCATTTTCTTGCTGTAAGAAATTTGCATCTTAAATATGTACCTGTTGGCCATGGATATTTAACCTAATATATAATAATGAGACTGGAAAAAAAGGGGAAATGGTTTTAGAATGAATTTAATCATTAGGCTGCTATTATACTTTGATTTTTATATGACTTAAACTTAAGAGATTTGAAGTCTCTGATAGACTGTTAATGAGCTTTAGGCTTGTTCAGGCCTTTTTGTACCTTTGTAAGAATTTTAATATTTATTCTAAGTCAAGCTAAATTTAATGATGCCTGCCAGTACTATACTATATGCAGTAATTCAAAGAAGGTCACATATAAATAAGTTTATTATTATTATTTTTTAACTTTTCAGCAGAAAGTTCAAACAAACCATATTATTTTAATGTTTTTGCTCCAGTCGGGACAAAATTAATGAAATCTTAAAGAGCATGACCCCGGACCAGCAGCAGGCCTTTGGATTGTGGTACAGCAAAGCATTGTCCCCCTCCAGCATCACCAGAGGTCAACAGTCGCTCATCAAGGACACAGGAAACCTGATCGCCTACCTGCCCTTCCAGAACTTCCAACACCTCTCAGCTGCTCAGGTAACGGCCCTCTGAGCTCTGACACCTGGCAGGGAAACTTGAGAAGCAAGCAGCTAGTTGGATCGGCCCCAGGGCAGAACACAGCCACTTGTCACACGCTGGTCAAAAGAAAGCACAGACTCATCTGTCTCTGTCACTACTGTGGGTTTTATTCTAGGGGCCAGTGTTCAATAAGTAATATTGGGAAAACATGAATTAGGAATGAGCATGGCTACTGATATTTCAATACTGAAGTAAGAATAAATAAAAGGATTTGTTTCAAACTTTACAAAACAAAATGAGAAAACTCCCCCACAAATTGACATTTTACACTTTATGTTTTGTGTGACTTTCTTAAAAGTTTTGAGTTTGTTAACTTTTTAGCATTAGATGTGCACAAATGTGTTATGCTATAGAGGCAAGGAAGTAAAGAAACATATACCTTTCCAAAGGTTTTACTATAATTTACCTTGGATGGTTTGCACTGCTAATAAATACAACATATAAACAAATATTACCTTCCATTTAGTCTGAATTAAAAAAGCATGGGCAAAGGGGAAACATACATGTTTGTCTTTCAGCTAATCCTTGTTTAAAGTGCACAGCATGCAGTCTTTTTATCCTCAAATTTTACACTGTACTGTTTTTTTCTTTCCTTGTCACTATATTGCAAAATGTATTGGCCCATTTTTAATACTTAATTGTGATATGTCACTTTTGTAATGCTTTCATCGGCAGCTGCTTGATGGGCTGGATGTGTTGCAGAGAAACACCCTCACTCCACTAAAGCAGGAATTTGTAGCACGCAACCTCATCAGCACCTACAGGAACCTAACAGCTCAGGACTTTTCCAGGTTTGGAATGACTATAGGAAGGCATTTCCAACATTTTCCATCCATGTTTTCTTTTTGTAATCATAGATAAAACCTGACAGAACACAATGTGTTGATGCATGCTTAAGAATCCAGGAATAGAAATAAATCCCCCAAAAGTTTCAGCTGTATGCAGCATTTTCAGCAAGGGAAACATTTCTTTATCTCATCCAAGTGAAATCGCTGAAGAAGTTCTGGGACAACAGTAATTAGTTTTGATGTAATGTTGCTGGATGGTCTTTTTTAGGTGCATTTGAACCTTTTATTTTATTAATATAACTTAATAGTTTGTCATATATACAATCTACTTGCTTGACTTCCAATCCTCATAACTAAATTTGCTTTATTTAAAAAAAGTATCACCTACACACAATATTAAAATTTCAAGGTTTGTTGTAAAGTTTTTTTTTTTTAATTATTTGACAGCATGTGTACTGATTAGTTAGAAATGCCTTGATTTCTTTAGGTTATAGAAACCTTTAAAAATGACACAAAAACCTTTAAAATAATCAATCAAACCAATTAAAAAACTAAGATCTTTCTTTCTTTCTTAAAATTAAATACATGTAATATTTTGGCAGGTGTTTCCTGTGAGTGTGTTGTTGAAACATTGCTTTGTGATTTCAGGCTGGGTAGTATCGCATGCCTGGCAGACCCAGATGATCTCTATGTTTATAAAGGCACCGAGGCTTTCAGTGTGATCCGCGAGAGTATTATGAGCTGCACACGTAAAGGACTCCGTTTGCCAAGTGACCTGGTAGGAACAGAACTCATGTGCAGTTCCTTCACTGTTTTTTTAAATGTATACTTTCATGTAATAATTGCTCTTTTTGTTTGTCTTAACTTTGTTGGCAGGTTTTCAATATTTTACTGAACACCACCGAGCTGCAGGTCCCGTCTGCAGTCCCTGCTGAGCGCCTGGCAGAGATCGCGCTCCTCCTGCCCTCGCTGGGCGTGACTTTCCTGCAGGGTCTCTCCACGTCTCAGCTGCTTTCTGTCCTCCCCACCCTGAACTCTATTCCATTCAGTCCTGCACAGGTAGAGGAGTAAATTAAACCTGAAATCTATACCAGAAGCTGGTAACCACAGTCATCATCTGTAATTGGTGTAATTTCCTTTCTTACTAGCAAATTGACTCTTTTCTTTCCAAGGCCCGGTTTCAGTGAGTGTACAATCATGTGTTGGCAGTAGATGGTTGGATTGCGTAGCAGCTGGTGGGAGTTTTATATCTTAGGAACAGCTGACAGCCTGGCAGCCTGTCTCAGCACTGGTGACAGGCCTCATGAAGAACAGACCTAAGCTTTACTTCATCCTCTGCTCTCATCTGAACTGAGGCCTTTTGCGTTTTCCTCAGCCTCACAGCTGTTGGTTTCATATGTCTTTAAGGAGTCTTGCAGAGAAGTAACATCTTCAAAGCTACACATAGTTTGTGCCATTTCGACCGAAACGGTTGTGTGAACAAGTGTTACTAAACCCCACAAGACTTTCATATTTTAGGAAACGGTGAATTTAACCAACATGTTGACGAGGTGTTTGAATGATTACTTGTTTTGTTTTTAATGTTTCAGGCAGCTGTAATAGTAGACAAGCTGTCTTCAGTCAATGGAGTAAGTTTTGGAAACTCATCACAGTGAAGTGAGTTCAGTTATTGTCTCTGTATTTTTGGGCCTTACACTTACATCATCATCATCTCTCTCCCGGCTGCCCAGTTTATCCCAGACCGGCTGGGGGAGCTCGGCTCTCTCATTGTAGGAGTGAAGACAGAGACCTTGCTGATGCTTACATCTGATAAACTGCTCTCAACCCTTGTTGCTATTTCGCAGCACACACAAGGTCTCTGTCTGCTTGACAGAAAAGGCCTCCTCCTCCCTCCACAAGCCAATGCTATAGCCACCAAACTATGGGTAAAACACACACACACACACACACACACACACACACACACACACACACACACACACACACACACACACACACACACACTAAATGCCACAGTTTAATTTGAAGAAACAGGGATCTTTGGGCTCAAATCAAGGGGTTCAAAATGTGGGTTTACATGAGGGTGATGGACAGCTTGACAGATGAGGTCTGGAAACTGTGATGTTTGCAGATTACATTGTGATCTATCGTGAGAGTAGGGAGCAGGAGGAAGAGAGTCTGGAGAGGTATCCACTGGAGAAAAGAGGAACGAAAGTTAGTAAGACAGAATACATGTGTAAAAGCAAAGCTGCGTGAAGGTGAAGGTAGATGAGTTTAAATACCTGGACAGTGCACAAGCGAGGTGAGTGCAGCCAGGGTGGAGCTGGTGGAGATAAGTATTGAGGGGTTATTTGTGACAGAAGGAAGCAGCAAGCGTGAAAGGGAAGGTTTACAAGATGGCAGTGAGAACTGCTGATGTACGGTTTGTCTATAGCTGTACTAATAAATAAAAACACAGGAGGCTGAGATAAAGATGGCAGAGTTGAAGATGCTTAGATCTTCATTGGTAGTGACCAGAATGGACAAGATTAGAAATAAGTACATATGAGGGACAGCTCAGGTTAAGCATGTTGGACAAAAAGTTAGAGAGGCAAGGCTGAGATGGTTTGGACACGTGCAGAGGAGGGAAAGTGGATATACTGGCCAAAAGATGTCAGGCAGGAGGAAAAAGGGAAGAACACAGAGAAGATTCATGGTAGTGGAGGGAGACGTGGAGAACGCTGGTGTGACAGAGGAGAATGCTAGGGATGGGGTGAGATGGAGGCAGTGGCACCTCCTAAAGAGAGCAGCTGAAAGAAGAAGAATGCATCTGTGTCGAGCACCTGCTGCAACGCTTTGTGTTATCTTTACTGTGTTTAGGGCTTCCCAGAGGTGGTCACCTGGTTGAACGATGTAGCTCCTTTGCTCGGCTGCACACCACTAATCAGTGTTCTTCCAAGGAAACGTCTACTTGTGAACAGCCTCTCCAATACATCTACAAAACCCTGGAACACGCAGCAGGTATCACAACAGCGCACATCTGTGACATTAGCGCCTGCTTTGCATTACCGCAGAGTGGTAAACAGCTCGGCTTGAATAAATATAAAAGAAAGTTTATGAGTGAAACATTATTAGGAATTCAAAACGGGGAAAGGAAGAGGAAGAAAAGGGTAGGAAGTTTACATCTTTATGCGCTGTACCAACACTTCCGGTATATGAATACGTAAAAGCTTCTCACAGTGAAGCAGGGAGTTCTCTGTTGTGTTTTGATCTCTTCATGCTTCCTCTTATTGGATATGCTTCCTCTCTGTTGTGAGGTGTGCATGACGCTATCTCGATTAGCTGCTAAATTATTAAGTGAAGAATGGCATCATCAGCGACACTGTGAATGGATCAGCCTCTGAATGCAACCGATCATGCAAACCTGCATGCTACCACTACAACGCCAACACTTTTCCACTTTCTTCCCCAGGCTAGAGGAATTTTCAGAGAGGTTCTTGATACTAATCCAAATCTGATCAAACAACATTTCTTGTAAGTACACTTAATCTGACAGACAGATGAACATGCAATCATAGCAATTATTTTCTTGTCTGTTTTCAAAATATATGAACCCCTTTGATGGTTGATGCTCTTATTTTCCAGCAATTTTGCAGCTTTATAAATTAACTATTGCGCATCTATTGACTCTAGGAGTCTGGGAACGCTGGGGCAGGGTGTGAGCTGTGCTGTCTTAAGAGATCGTTTTCAGGCAAATCGGTCACCTTCTTCAGCGAGAAGCATCCTGGCCTTGCTCAGGCAGCAGCCTGGTCTTCTTCACACCTCACTGGTAATTACACATCAATTAATTCCTGACATTTAAGATATTTACGTTAATTCAAGGATCATTAATGTGTGACTTCTATTATGTGTCTGTTGTTCTGGACAGAAAAACTGTATAATCGAGGTGCTCTATCAGTTTGAGTTCTTCTTTGAACTGCTTGAAGATCTTGGAGTTGAAATTGCACTTTCAATGCCGTAAGTCCAAAGCTGGCATTATAGTTACTGCAGAAAAACTTTAATATCCATAAGATTTGCATGCCTTTAGTGAAAAATGAGTATGTGTGCAATGCAGGAGACCCTTGTGTACTCTTTGCCCTGAAACAAAACTTTGGATTGTTTTGGTCTTGTGTGTTTGTGTCTTGCAGGGTGAGTGCCATAAAAAGGTTTTCCACAGATATGATGAACAGTCTCAGGAGGATGATTATAGCAGGACCGCATCACTTTCTCCTGCTGTCCCGAACAAAGCAGCTGCTGCTGGTTGATAAAATGGCGCAGAGGTTGGTAAGTAGAGCCTGATTTCCCAGTGGCCCTTTTCTGAGGTTCAATGGAGAAGAAGCTACCAAAAGAAGACAAAAATGATAACAGTTATCTGGATTTATTCTTGTGTTTGTCTTAAAATATAATCTGAGCTTCTTCCAAGTTTTAGCTAAGACCAAAAACACCGTTAAAATTAGCAACTGTCAAACATTTACAAACAGCGGAAAAGTAAGGTGGAAGTTTAAATATTCATCCATCATCAGTTAGGAACATAAGAACTGCACAGTACTCGGTACTCACCACAAAAATGAGCACCTTGCTAAGATAACACACATCAAAAAAAGGCTCATCAGTGTTTCTTATAGGTTCATTTCAGTGTGGACGTCTGTGAGATCAAGTTCAGTAGATCAGATTAGTTTGGAGTCCACACCTCACCCCCATACAGATACTGTTGAAGGATCTCAAGAGTGTATGACACTTTTTAAAGTCTGATCTGCAGGTATCAGTTTGTTTAACGTTACTTCTGCCATAAAAGGTGCCAACAGTTATTAAATCCACTAGCATGTTGAATTTTGAATGTATGCAAGCAAAAAGGTTTTTATTAAAGAGTATACACTGCTTCTGAGTTTTTGTTAAATAAATAATGACATGGTGTAATATGTCATGTGTTGTGTAATCTCAGGTTGTAAGACATGGTTAAAAGCTAGTTAACTTTTAACCATGTCCTAATAAGTAAAACCTTAGAATTGCATTTTGCAGAGTGTGTACTTTCTTTTTACCATGAGCATAGATGAAATGTTAGAATTGAGATAATCAGGATTTACCAAAGAGTTAATAAATAGTTTTTCTCTGCCAGCTTTTAGTTAGTACGCTTTTCTTGTTTCCCATGTCTCTTGAAATATCCTATTTTTTATTTATATATTTTTTTGTGCTTTATTTCCAGGGCATGTATACAGGCGTGTTCACGGAGGAGGAGTTCCGTTTGCTTGACATCATGGCACCGTTTGTGGTAGATGAGGTTTTTATTCAGGTGGACCGCAGGTTCTTCATTCAAAATCTGGATTTCCTCCATGGGCTCTGCTACAGCAGCACCAAGATGGAAATCGTGGCTCGTATTCTCCAAGAGCCTGCTGCCTTTGGGTAACATTACCACAAACCGAACTGTCTGCTGAAAGGAGATACAGTGTTATTCAACATTTATTCAACAAGTGATTCTCAGGAAAACAGCAAGACTGAGCAGCTGTGTGAGCTGTAAAATAAATAAATAAATAAAATTAACATAAAGATCTGAAATGATAACATGTTACATAGAAAGGTTAAATTGGTCCTTAGGTTAAATGAGAAATAATGACAAGAAACAGTATTTAAGAACCCTTTCTGTGGGCAGCTCCTCTTTAGGTCACAAGTTTAGAAACACATATATGCTAATCCACATTTTGTCTTTTGGCCCGCTTGTTTCCTATCAGTCCCAACCAGCCGCAGCAGATGGCTTCCCCTTTCCTGAGCCTGGTTCTGCCGGAAGTTTCTTCCTGTTAAAAGGGAGTTTTTCCTTCCCACTGTCACCTCACTTCTTAAGGAGTCCTCTGATTGTCAGAGTTTTCTCTGTGTTATTTTCCTTATAATTGATCTTACAATACAAAACACCTTGAATTGACTGTTTTCATTTGGTGTTATATAAACAAGAATACATTAAATTGAATTAATCACAAAAATAATTATAATATTTTGTGTGGCGACTGAGCTCAACTGCTGAAAACTGACATTAAGGTATATAATTAATTAATTTCTGGCATTTCTACAGCATCATTAGCAGTTGAGGTGTAGGATTAAGATGACTAAATATCTTTGCATTCCCTGTAAAGTCACTTACCCAGCCTACGCTAAGCTTCAGCTGAAAGCCCCCATGATGTTAAAGCACTGATAAATTTGATCATTTATTTATAGCTCAGTGATGATGAGCCGATTCCCTTCACTTATGTTGATATGCACTGCTCTTTTTATATAGATTTGTATTATTAACGTTGTATTAAATTGGATAACTAATATAATATTAATATTCCCAAACAATCTAACTGTAGTTTCATCACTCCACAGTTGGTCTGGGTGTTTTTTTTGGCATATCAACCTTTGTTGTGATCATAAGTTTAGAGTTCACATCATTTTTCCAAGCTACATTGTTACAGTAGAAATTATATATTCATTGTGAAAAGGAAGAATGCAATGAGGTCTGTGTTAATCATTGAACTAGACTATTTGTTCATAAGTGTAAGTTAGATGTGACCATTTTAGGAATGAATTTTAAAAAACTGTAGTTCACTTACTTTTTCTTGCACTGTATTTATTATGTTTTTCCACGTCAACTGCATCACATATATACTAAATGGGTGAGAATTTCAAGAATGTGAATGTATCCATAGAATATTTAGTTCACAGAGGCATGAATTAATCAACAAAGTCCAACGCAGCAGTTTTTAGAAGTTGGCCTTGTAAGGATGTTTCTTTTACAGTTTTTATAGGTTTTAAAATGAAAATGAAGTTATATGAAATTTATTTTCTAAACTTTCCACTGATAGAGGCTTTGCACACAACCTGAGATAAAAGGAACAATGATAGCATGATCTTGTCTCCCCCTCATAGCCCAGTGGAGAACTGGGACCAGACAACACTCAGTCAGGTGGACCGCTTTCTCTTCTTCCTGCCTCAAGACAAACTGCAGCAGATTTCCCTGGTAAGTTTATTGCTGCACTTCTTTCAGTATTTAATACTTAATATCTGAACCCAGAGCCTGAATAGTTCCCCATATTATTATTACTTTTTTCAAAGTGCAACACATTCGCTGAGTGTCCAGAAGTCCACAGTGGAGCTTTGTGTCAGAACTTGATCCAATGACATGTTAAGTCAGAGCCTGTAAAGAAATCTCTCGGGTGTCACATCTCCAAAAGGTGTCAAGATCAGGTGATGAGGTTGCTGTCTTCCTGTAACCCATTCAAATGTGCGTGTTGCTGTCTGTGTCTGTGTGCCCGCAGGCATTGATGACTGTGGAGCGAATAGAGAAGCTGTTCATGAGCCACCATCAGTGGGAACGTGGGGACATCGGGATGCTGTGTTCAGATGAGACTGAGAGGAAGACCATTTTTGAAAGGCAGCAGTTTGTTCTGCAGTTTTTCCTGGGCTTCCTTAAACTAAATTCTCAGTCATGTAAGCCTTACTTTGGTTTCTCTTACAATAACCTTGTATGGTTTTCATCAAATTTGGTGGGATTAAGAATTTCTTCAGTGAATGTAGCATTCTCTGCTGCCTTTGAAGTGTCACAAGACATGACATGGAACCATGCAAGGGCTCTAGGGAGGAAGAGGTTCATATCAGTCTACAGAAAGCAGACTAGTTTAGTTAGCTTATGTTAGCATATACTCTTGAAAAAAGGTGAAACAGCCGGCGAAGATTTTTTAGTTCTGCAAAGAGCACTTTCAATTTTAATAACTTCAAGTAAAAAAAAGACATTTTAATTATGTGCAAAGGTGTTTCACGATCAACAGTCAAGTTGCCAAACAGTGAGGGGACATCCACTGTAAAATGTATGCGGCTAAAGAAGGAAAAACTGGATTGATTACAGTGAATGTTGCATTTTTTTGGAAATCAAGGTCCTGAAGTCTAGAGAAAGAGAAATTTAGAAATTTCAGTATCGTAAATCCTTCTTTCATTGAGCTGGCATTTCTAATTTTCATGGGCTAAAAGCCATAATTAATAATAATCAGTTTAACCAAAAAAAAATAATCAAACAAACACTTTCTTAATAGTTCACTTCCCACATAATTAATATAGAATATATGAAAGTTAGCCTTGTTTAATTAAAGTAGGAAATTAGGAAAAAATCATCCACCTTTTCTTTCAACTTTTTATGCTATATAAAGTCTATATACTCTGTTATGCAGTCATATAGAGGGGAGGCGGGGGGGGGAGGATTATTGGTAGGCAAACAGCATATTGAATGAAAAATAGGCAGTGGGGTAGTTAATATAGCTTTGTGATGCTCTCTATTTAGTATGAATAACGTAGTTAAGTTAGTGAGTGAATTGGAAATACAGAATGATAATGTTTATTTTTTATTTATTATCCAATCACGTGACCAGGCTTGATGAAAAAAAACGTTTTATCGCCTCTAAGTAAAGACTGGAAAATGAACTGAAACAGTGGTCCAAAAAAAAAACAACAAGTTATTAACCCAACCATTGTTTTGGATGGAATTGTTATCCTTCTAAACATTGTTTGCATTATTGTCTTTTGGTACAGCTGAAAGCGTAATACATTTGTGCGTATGAATTTCTTTGCAAGTTGACTTTTGTAGCAGGAGAACTTGCTGATCTTCTAACAGTGAAAATTAGCTTCTTGAATTAAATTTTTCAGAAAGACTTTGGCTAATACTTTTCAGTAAACAAAAAAACTTGACAACTTCAAACTAAGCCATGGTTATATTACATTGCTGACACATTTTCATAGATAATCTCCTGATCATATGTTTGTGTGTGTTGCTGGCCAGTGACTCCAGTGGTTCCTACTTGTGAGATTCTGCATACAACAGCCCCCTCCGTTTGGCTCTCCAGCAGTTTGACTAGCATGCCTTCATCTGCCTTCTCCAACTGTCTGGAGCTGATGGGTCACGACCCGTTTCTTGCATCCTACCAACGCACTGAAGTGCTCAGGAAAGTCAAGCAGGTCAGACTGATTGTTAATCTGAATCAGTCCAACAAAAACCTCTTACATGTGTTTCATTTGATGATGGCCAAAGTTTACAGGTCTTAACACTGTGTTTCTGCTCTGTCTTTGCTCCGGGCCTCTCGGTATTAACGTGAATATATGAAGATATATGGCCCAGTCTCATCCTTCTCCCAGGCTGTGATCTCTCAGCTCGGTGTAATAGCGACACAGCTATCATTAGACGAGCTGAATGCCATTCGACTGACTGAGCGGAGAAGCATCGCCGCTCTGGGCACAGTCAGTGACTGGAATAGCAGACAGGTAAGTATTTTAGCCACTGCAGTTCAAATATTTACATGTTACATCAAAATTGCTTTGTGTTTTGGGCAGTTTTTATTTCGTCTGATAAGAATAATACCAGCTGTGGCATTATTGCGCTGTATTAGACTGGTTTATAACTTGTTGTCGTCCTAGCTGGCCACACTGTTTTCCACCGTGTTAAACTCCACCAAGCAGAATCCGAGCCAGCTTGACTCCAGCACTCTGGTGGCAATGGGATACATTGTGTGTGGCGCTAAAGCCACAGAGCTGAGGTCTTTCAATCCTATAGAGCTCAGGTGCGCACAATATCGGAAAATGCTTAAATGAAGCGTATTTTTTCAAGCCCAGCTTGACACTTGAATTTACTTTGTACTCTGTCTCCCTCCGATGGCTGCAGTAAGGCGGTTCTCAGGCTGGGTCGGCTGAGGCTGTCTTGCTCAGAGGAGCAGCTGCAAGCTCTTGTTGAACTGCTAACCCACAGCCTCGTTTTTGGACTCATGAGTTCCTGGGGCACCGATGTGTTCATTGAGATCGGAGTCCTGGCAGGTATTGTCTATTCATTGTCTTTTCCACATGAATTTTAGTTGTACTATGCATAGTCCTACATCTGCCTTAATGTGTGGTGAGAGATTTAAATCAAAGACATTTTGTTTTCCTCTATGCTTTGCTGTAAAAGCTTTTGATTCATTGTTTCTAGCACCCTTTGCTCTGTTTCACTGGAACACTTTGCTTGTTTTTCAGTGGGTATCCCAGACATGGCCATGTCAGCGCTGGTAAAAGAGCAAATTGAGGGAATCGCACCTTTGGCTATCTCAATGATGGCACCAAAAAAGTTTGCTGTGAGTCAAGATTTAATTAAACCAACCATATCTTGGGTGTTAAACATAAAGCACGGGGGCCAGAAATGAACCAACAAAGACTCCGATCCGGCCAACTGGATGGCTTTAGAAAATGTGAAGGAGGAAATACTATTTTTGACTTTTAAATGTGTTTTAATAACTTTTACAGCAATTCCTGCTAATGACAAACTCTCCCACAGCAATCTATACTACACCACAGTATATCATGTCAGAGATTAAACGGGTAGTAAACCTTCTTTTCACTGGCAGAAAGATTAGTTTCACTGGTCAGGGCCGATTATTGTAATATCAAGGTGAGCTAAACTACATATGTGTAAAAAGTACATAATTTTTTAGTAACATTTGTTTTTTTACAATAAAAAAAAATGTATTCCTGTTTTTGCGTCCATCTTGACAAATCTTTATCATGTCTTTAATTTATCTTTATCTCTATCCCCCCGCTGTGTGTTTTGTTTTCAAAAGGTGGTATTCTCCCAGGAAAAGATCGCCATGTTCTCCTACGAGCAGGCTGTTGCAGTAACTGATAACCAGCGCTCTGTTCTGTCAGACCTCCAGAAAACAGCTCTAGCTATGGTGCTAACACCCTGGGACGATAAGCTTGTTGACTTCAGAGGTAAAACCTGAATCACTGCTGTCCACTGATAACCATTAAACTTGATTTGTCTTCTTTATGCATTAATCGCTTTACCTGATGAAAATATAATCGCCCTTATCAAAACTCTTACCAAAGTTTTATGCTAGTTTAGGTAAATCTTGCTATTATCAGGTTGGATCCACTTTTGCCTTCAGAACTGCCTTACTTCTTAATTCCTCTGAGATTTTGCTCCATATTGACATGATAGCATCATACAGTTGCTCCAGATCTGCAGACTGCACAATCTCTTGTTCCACCACATCCCAAAGGTGTTCAACAAGGCTGGACTGGGACAAAAAATCGGCCCGGGCATTTTGACTAGAGACCGGCCCACCAGGATAAAGATTGAAAATGTGACGTCATTCAGGGGTAAAACCGCAAAGGATTCTGGGAACTTGTGGCAAGAGGTACTGGCGCACGCAGGCTTTCAATTGAACTCAGTTACACAGCGATAAAAAAGAAACCCAAAAAATGGCAAGAAGCTGTTGTATTATTAACTGCAATAGCCGGTCGCATGACAGCCACGGGAAGCCAACGGGTAAAGAGATCTTTTTTTTTTTATCGGATTAAGTCGTTGAAGAGAAATTTTTTAAGCCATGTTTCCGAAGTAAGAGCCGACGGATGGTCACTGCGGTAAAGTGAGCCGTCATTTGTGAGCCGCGGTCAAGCCAGCCGCCTCCTATCCGCCGCATAAATTTCCTTGCGCTTTTACACCAGTCTTTACGGTAGCGCCTTTTTGCTTTATATCCTGATTGAAAGCCTAGACTCGCGCACACACGCGCGCACACAAATTACAATGGAACAGCTCAATACAGCCATCGTGACAGTCTGGTTGCATATTCAAAAATTCATTAAAAATCATTCTTAAAAGTTGATGCCAAGCTTTCAACACAATCCTCTTCTCGGACACCTACTTTACCTCTGGGCCAGTTTTTACCCAGATTTACTGTAATATTACTCAGAAATCACAGTAAACTCATATTCAGTGCAATACAGTCAATGCACTACAATTATGTTTATTTCAAAAATTCATTAAAAGTCATCCTGAATAGTTGAGGTCCAACTTTCAACACATCCCTCCTCTGGGACACCTACTGTACCTGTGTGCCAATTTTCATCCAGATTTACTGTAGAATTCCTCAGAAATTAAAGGGTACTTGTATTCAATGCAATACAGTCAATACAATAGAATTATGTCAATTTTCAGAAATTCATTAAAAATCATCCTGAGTAGTTAATGTCCAACTTTCAACACATCCCCCCTCTGGGACACCTACTGTACCTGTGTGCCAAGTTTCATCCAGATTTACTGTAGAATTCCTCAGAAATTAATGGAAACATTTATTCAATCTAATACAGTCAGTACAATAGAATTATGTCATTTTTCAAAAATTCATTAAAAATCATCCTGAGTAGTTGATGTCCAACTTTCAACACATCCCTCCTCTAGGACAGCTACTGTACCTGTGTGCCAAGTTTCATCCAGATTTACTGTAGAATTCCTCAGAAATTAATGGAAACATTTATTCAATCTAATACAGTCAGTACAATAGAATTATGTCATTTTTCAAAAATTCATTAAAAATCATCCTGAGTAGTTGATGTCCAACTTTCAACACATCCCTCCTCTAGGACACCTACTGTACCTGTGTGCCAAGTTTCATCCAGATTTACTGTAGAATTCCTCAGAAATTAATGGAAACATTTATTCAATCTAATACAGCCAATGCACTACAATTGTGTCAATTTTCAAAAATTCATTAAAAATCATCCTGAGTAGTTGATGTCCAACTTTCAACACATCCCTCCTCTAGGACACCTACTATACCTGTGTGCCAAGTTTCATCCAGATTTACTGTAGAATTCCTCAGAAATTAATGGAAACATTTATTCAATCTAATACAGTCAGTACAATAGAATTATGTCAATTTTCAAAAATTCATTAAAAATCATCCTGATTAGTTGATGTCCAACTTTCAACACATCCCTTCTCTGGGACACCTACTGTACCTGTGTGCCAATTTTCATCCAGATTTACTGTAGAATTCCTCAGAAATTAAAGGAAACTTATATTCAATTCAATACAGTCAATACAATAGAATTATGTCAATTTTCAAAAATTCATTAAAAATCATCCTGAGAAGTTGATGTCCAACTTTCAACACATCCCTCCTCTAGGACACCTACTGTACCTGTGTGCCAAGTTTCATCCAGATTTACTGTAGAATTCCTCAGAAATTAATGGAGACATTTATTCAATCTAATACAGCCAATGCACTACAAATGTGTCAATTTTCAAAAATTCATGAAAAATCATCCTGAGTAGTTGATGTCCAACTTTCAACACATCCCCCCTCTGGGACACCTACTGTACCTGTGTGCCAAGTTTCATCCAGATTTACTGTAGATTTCCTCAGAAATTAATGGAGACATTTATTCAATCTAATACAGCCAATGCACTACAATTGTGTCAATTTTCAAAAATTCCTTAAAAATCATCCTGAGTAGTTGATGTCCAACTTTCAACACATCCCCCCTCTGGGACACCTACTGTACCTGTGTGCCAAGTTTCAGCCAGATTTACTGTAGAATTCTTCAGACATTAAAGGGTACTTTATTCAATTCAATACAGTCAATACAATAGAATTATGTCAATTTTCAAAAATTCATTAAAAATCATCCTGAGTAGTTGATGTCCAACTTTCAACAGATTCCTTCTCTGGGACACCTACTGTACCTGTGTGCCAGGTTTCATCCAGATTTACTCTAGAATTCCTCAGAAATTAATGGAAACATTTATTCAATCTAATACAGCCAATGCACTACAATTGTGTCAATTTTCAAAAATTCATGAAAAATCATCCTGAGTAGTTGATGTCCAACTTTCAACACATCCCCCCTCTGGGACACCTACTGTACCTGTGTGCCAAGTTTCATCCAGATTTACTGTAGAATTCCTCAGAAATTAATGGAGACATTTATTCAATCTAATACAGCCAATGCACTACAATTGTGTCAATTTTCAAAAATTCCTTAAAAATCATCCTGAGTAGTTGATGTCCAACTTTCAACACATCCCTCCTCTAGGACACCTACTGTACCTGTGTGCCAGGTTTCACCCAGATTTACTGTAGAATTCCTCAGAAATTAATGGAAACATTTATTCAATTCAATACAGTCAATACAATAGAATTATGTCAATTTTCAAAAATTCATTAAAAATCATCCTGAGTAGTTGATGTCCAACTTTCAACACATCCCCCCTCTGGGACACCTACTGTACCTGTGTGCCAAGTTTCAGCCAGATTTACTGTAGAATTCCTCAGAAATTAATGGAAACATTTATTCAATCTAATACAGCCAATACACTACAATTGTGTCAATTTTCAAAAATTCATTAAAAATCATCCTGAGTAGTTGATGTCCAACTTTCAACACATTCCTCCTCAGGGACACCTACTGTACCTGTGTGCCAGGTTTCACCCAGATTTACTGTAGAATTCCTCAGAAATTAATGGAAACATTTATTCAATCTAATACAGCCAATACACTACAATTGTGTCAATTTTCAAAAATTCATTAAAAATCATCCTGAGTAGTTGATGTCCAACTTTCAACACATTCCTCCTCAGGGACACCTACTGTACCTGTGTGCCAAGTTTCATCCAGATTCACTGTAAAATTCCTCAGAAATTAAAGGACATTTATATGCAATTCAATACAGCCAATACACTACAATTATGGAAATTTCAAAAATTCATTAAAAATCATCCATAATAGTTGAGGTCCAACTTTCAACACTTTCTTACTCTGGGCGTCCTACTGTACCTCTGGGCCAAGTTACATCTCAATTCACTGTAATCTTTATCAAAAATTGAAAGAACAATTATATGTCAATGCTGGATGTGTGTCCTTTCAAAGTGACACTAAATAACAGAACTCAGGCACATCAGGGAATAATCCAAAAGGCGGATTTATTAAACAAAAACAACATACAAAATATCTCTAACCCATACTACATAACCTAAAAAGAAACAAAGGGACACTTAGAAGCACAAGGAAACAATACTGAAAGGGCAAGAGACACAGTCCAAACATAATCCACAACTAAAATGCCAAAAGAACAAGTCATCCCACATAGCAGACGGGTCTTGCCTGGATCTGGTGTCAAGCCGGCACTGCTGGCTGACTTCTGGCATGGTAAGATGGCACTGTTTATGTGATGGCATGCCACATTTGGCCTGATTGGGTGAATGTGACATGTTGTATAGAGCACTTTGAGTAATATGGGTGAGTAAAAAAGTGCTGTATAAGAATCAGTCCATTCACTGTCTGAACAGAGTTTCGTCATGTTACTTTTGCACTATTATGTTCCAGCACATGTTGTTATTACATGGCTTACATGGCTATGGTACACATTAGGCTGACATCTGGGGCCAGAGCTGAAACTGTTCTGGGCCAGCACAGGGCCAGCAGTGTGTCTGCAACTGGCCTTGTGCTGGCTCATGTGTGGGCCACCTCTGGTAAACCAGATCTGGGCCACCATAGGGCCGTCATTCTTTGCGGTACGCAGGCCATGTGTAAGCACATTGTGTGGGACAGATCCAGGCCATACCAATTTTGCTATGTGGGAGGAATTATGTAAAAATAGAAACATCATAAAAATGAAAATGAACATAAAGTAAAATGTACTGAAAAGAACATCAGTATGGCCATCATTATTTGCTTGGAAAGTCTAAAGTTCCATGGCTTTGAACAGCCAGAGAACGCAATGCCCAGCTTAGAATGACTAAAAGTAACTTCTTTTAACATTCTGTCATTCTGCTTCTATATCAAAAATCCACTAAAAATAGTCATTTGAAAAAAAATATTCGCCACTTTTCATCAGTTTGGGTTCCTCTGTTTATAGCAATTTTTAGAAAAGAACCCAATACCTTTGTCACTATACAGTTGTACAGTGAGATACAGAGCATCTCCTACTCATTGCAAA